CCTTTTGATTTCTTCTTTCTTACGGCGGAAAGTAGGAAAATCTCAGGACAGATCATTTACCTCAGTCCCCAAGATCTGGAGAGTGCCTGTGTAGCAAACCAAGTCCAAGACCCCAAGTCCACCGTAAGTTCCTCCACCCTCGTCATCCATCTTCATTGTCCCCCCCTCCTCTTCCGTCTACCATCCATCCTTCTTCCCCTTCGCATCATCCTCTTCCAATCTTGCTTTTTATTTAGCCTTGAATACTTCCTTCCTCCTCCTAACTCATCGGGCGCTTGGACTGGCTGTCCGGGGTTTCTTCTCGTCCTCTTTTTTTTTTTTGACTCATTCCTTGCTTTTTTCTTTGTGTCTTGCTCTGTGCATCGATCCTGCTTACCCTCCTCCATTTTTATCCGCATACCTTAATTCTGCCTTGGCCATGTGTGTCTGAAGAGTCTAGCCTCCTGCCTCTAGGCGATTACAAGCAAGAATCACAAGAGAACAGATCATCTGTTCTTCATAAACCAATCGGACACAGTTGACCAAGAAGAAAGAAGAATCATACATAGACAAAAGAGAGCAAAAGTACTTGCACTTGCGATCGATCAAGGTAAGCTGCTTATTGAGCACTGACATTTTCCTTGCTGTTGCTTTTTCTTTCTTGCTTTTTCTTTTTCAAACCCATGCATCGTTCGGACTTCAGGACTTTTGATCCTTCATTCCCAATGGCGTATCTCGTCTTACTCATATTACTAGGTACTGCGACTAGTCCAGCCGATCCATCTTCACAGGCCGCCGCCGTTGGTTGTTCCAACGAACAACCCTCATACTCGACCAGACCCTAGCCAAATAAAGCACTAATCGGCTTTCTGCACCTAGAATATCTAGCAGCCGATCGAAAAATCAATACCTTCGACCAGGGTCTCGGGTTTTGTCGTTTACGGCGGGTAGAGTGGAATTCCTCGTGCTTCCTCCAATCGACAACACGCACAATTATTTCCCCTCCCCTCCGTGCGTTCGCTCTGTCCTCCTCCGATTGCTTCCCTTGGATTCTCGCAGCTCTCTCTCTTATCTGTCGCGCTCTTTCGTCCACCGTGCGATCTATTTCCCTACTCTGTCTGCTTATCTTTCCTTCGGTTTGCATTCCTTATACCAATAAGGAGACGACAGGGTGCATTTAACCCTGCCACGACGGGATAATGTCGGGGATGAGCCATGGAGAAGCGCCTAAAGCAGCGCGACCGACTCCATCCGCTGTCTCCGCCTCCTCTGGTTACGACATCGCCGATGCTGACCGATCATCCTCTTCCCATTTCCACCACACCTCCCAGTTGTCCGACGATTTCTCCCTTGGTTCTCCCCTCAGTCCACCTGACTCCGCTCATGTCCAGGACGGTTTGCTCCAGGACTCTCTCTTTCCCGAGTGGAGGAACGCTGCTCCCCGACACGGGGTAGAAAGCCCAGATGAGATGCAACGGAAGGATCCACTGGCTACTCAGATATGGAAGCTCTATTCTAGAACAAAAGCTCAGTTACCCAACCAGGAGCGCATGGAAAATCTCACGTGGCGCATGATGGCTATGAGTTTGAAACGTAAGGAACGCGAAAGGCTTCAGCAGAATCGGTATGTCTATGATGATTCGGAGTGCTTGGACAATCGCGCTTTTTTGAAGTCATGGTGAACTCATCTTATTCTCTTTTACGATATAGTCCTTCGATGAAGAACAGTGGCAGCTCGGGACCGAGCGGTATTGCCCAACTCCGTCAGTCCGACCGCCCTTCCTTTGCACGGCCATCAACGTCCACCGATCTTGCCTCCGACCCCATGAACATCGACGACTTTATAGTTCCTATCGAGTCGCCCGCCGATCACCCTCGGTCACCCACAACAGATACAGCGGCGACTTCATCCGTGGCGATCCCCATCAAGTCTCGCAAGGACCAATCGGCCGATGCCACTCCCGTGCCAGCCTCCTTCCCTCACCCACCTCAGGACCAGCGCAGAAACAACGAGTTTGGCTATGTACCCCGCCGCGTGCGCAAGACAAGCATCGATGAGCGCCAATTCTTCAATCTCCAGATTCCCACTCGCAAGCGGCCAGCCGAGTCCTCTCCCCAGGTGCCGCCCGTGTCGAACGCCATGCTGGCTCAGGATCCCCATTTCTCGGCCGGTGTTCCTGATTACACCCTTGATAATGCGTCCTCTGGATTTGCTCTCCACCATAATACTCAAAACCACCACCACAACAATAACCTTACGTCCCCTGGCGTCCCCTTTGGATTGGACACTTTCAGCTTGGGAGAAGATCCGATTCTATCGTCGGCCGGTCCTTACCAGGCGCACTTTACTTTCTCTCCCAGCGACTCTCCTATGACGTCGGCCAACCCGTTTGCGAACGTATATGCGCAGACCCCGATTGCCTCGTCGCTTAATTCGACTGAATTCTTTTCTCCTCCTCCGTCGGGGTACCAGTCCACCGTATCAACGCCTCAGCCCACATACGATGGGGATCACTCCTTGTATTTCGATATGCCTTCGATTGACGCTCGGACTCAACGGCGTATTCCCAACTACATTACCCACCGTTCGAACTTGTCCGCTTCGCTGCAGCCGCGGTACATGTTTAACAACAATACCGGTAGCGAGCAGCAGCACGGGATGACCCACGCCAGCAACTCGTCCTCTGCTGTTCATTCTCCGAATTATACTATCCCTCAGTCGCAGCATGTCGATCCGACTCAGGTGTTAAACCCCAGCGATTTCCCTACTTCCAACTCTCATGCCGGCATATTCTCGTTCGGTGCGGATTCTGACAACGAGGATGATGATGCGAACAACTACACCGAGCGCGCTGGCCTGGCTATGCCCGCCGACTTTGGTGATGACAACGCCGGCGACATGAACGGCTTGCACTGGGACGGTCAGTTCCCTGGATCTTTCCACTCACTGTCTGGATTCAGCGTGCAGCACCGGAAACATGTCACGATCGGCTCGGCAGACATGATGGACACTCCCAGTGAGTGGAACCAAGGCGGCAGTCTTGGCCGCACGCACGGATCCGCAGCCTCGGTCAGTGAAGTGCGCAACCGCGAGCAGGACCCTCGTCGTCAGAAGATTGCTCGTACCACGTCGACGCCTAACACCAACCAACTGCTGCGCCAGAGCATGAACAATACTTCCCACACATCGCCGAACACCCCTCCGGAATCGGGACTCAGCAGTGCTGTTCCGTCCCGACCGGCGAGCCCTGGTGGCTCCAAGAACGGCGATCAGAGCAATGGGCCAACCACCTGTACCAACTGCTTCACTCAGACCACCCCACTGTGGCGCCGTAATCCCGAGGGTCAACCCCTCTGTAACGCCTGCGGTCTGTTCCTCAAACTGCATGGAGTGGTTCGTCCGCTGTCGCTGAAGACAGACGTCATCAAGAAGCGAAACCGCAGTAGCGCCAACAGTATTGCTGTGGGCGCGTCTCGTTCGTCCAAGAAGTCCTCTCGCAAGAACTCAGTTGCGCAGGTCTCCATCATGACGACACCTACATCGAGCCGCGCACAGAGTGGCACTACATCCGAGTCCCCGCCGGCCATTCCTGGAGGCGCGGCCTCAGCCGCTGGCAGGACCGCAGCTGCGACGGGCAAATCTGGTGTGGTCCCCATCGCGGCAGCACCACCCAAGGCTACTCCTTCTACGAGCGCTGGACAAAGCCGTAGCACCGTTCAGGTGGCCCCCAAGCGCCAACGGCGTCTGGAGAAAGCCAGTGAGACGGACGCAGCCGACGACAGCAACAAGCCCAGCACTTCGTCTGGTGGCCGGTCGAAGGTGGTTCCATTAGCACCTGCCATGCCTCCGGCAGCGGTGAACCCGGCCAATCATAGCATTGCTGGTGGTCAGGGTGCAAGCCAGGAATGGGAGTGGTTGACCATGAGTTTGTGAGCTAGCACTTTCAAACTTCATCACCATTTACTTCTTTCTTTTTTTGCGCGTTGAGATATGTTCCTTTACACCATGATTAATAGACGTGATGAATTACGCTCAAATCTGAGATCAACAAGATTGTGGGGGAAGTTGCTCGCTAGACGAACAAGGTGTTTGGGAGTGTTGACCGCGGCCTGACTGATCAAATGCACCTCACGATTCAGATTTACGACCATCTTACGACAGAGGGTGCAGCAACCTGGTTCGTCAGGCATAGTGGCTGGTATCTTAATGGTTGATATGAGTGATGCGATGCCTCTCTCCTTTGGTTGATGTGGCCTCTGTGGGCAGGCGCGATACATCTTCAATACGATGCATCCTCCACGCCTCGATCTCAGTGGCACGCCGATAATGATTCGACTCTGCTCATGCCAGATCAGCCTCTCCTCGGAGGTGTGGGACCGGGAGATTGGATACACCAAGGTTGTCTACGTTTTTATGTTGATTTGATGATTTCAGTTGCTTGATACAATCGCGTCTGTCCGGACCCCAGTCTTCCTTTTGTGTCTTGCGTCTTTTGTTCTGTTTTTCGGTTTCGTTGCATGTTCTCGAGACTTGGGGCCGGGCAGAAGTGCGCATCTCTGTTTGATTGTTTCACTTTTCTGTCTGATGGTTCGTGAGATTATTCTTAATTAGATAGACTATGCCGAGCTTTGTATCGGTCAATATAAGCGATTTCTCACTCACCTCGCAGAAAAGTAGCCTCTCCATGGAATGCATGCCCGACTATGAAGTCACTGTACCCCTGCGTGGCCATGACATCACTAACTTGAGCACATATATACCTCTGCAATCATATATTGCATGCTCACTTAGATATCAAACAAGCATCAAGACCATCCAGCCAAATCCAATTCATCAGATCAACGAGTCGAAGGAACTGAACTCACCATGTCCGGAATGGCAGTACGTCCTCCCCACCCCGAGAACACCCACCCATTGACAAATACCGACACCAACACCAAAACCAGGGCGACAATCGCTCTTCCTACGAGGGTAACAGTCCTGTCCCCTTTATCCCCTCAGGCATATCTAACTCGGTGGTATGACACGGACAGAAGAAGCCACCGACCCCATCACGCCCACCCTACACAACCCATCCCAGTCCTACGCCGACCACACCAAGGAATCAGGCAGTAGTGTCGCGGAGAAAATCGCCGAGGCGATGCAGCCGGGTTTGTACTCCCTATCCCGGGGGGAAGCTTTGCGGATGGCGCGTTGATATTGATGGGCTGCAGGGGATAACAAGAGCACGACGAGGTTGTTGTCGGATACGCCGACGGGAATGCGGGCTGGGGAGTGGGAGGCTTCCTTTGGAGACGGGGGTGGACGACGGGATCGGGAGAAGGAGGAAGAGGGGAAGGGGATGTTGCAGGCTGCGCAGGAGGCTGTTGCGAGGGCGTTGGGAGGTGGGTCGCGGGGTATGTTTCTTCCTCGTGGGAGGTGAGGTTGGGTGAGGTTGCTAATGTGTGTATTTTAGGGGCTAGTTGAGATGACTGGGCTTGAGTACGGGTATCTGGGACTTTGATAAAAGTGCGCATACGCAATGTCATTCTTGTTTAAGTATCTTGAAGGGAATCACCGACACTGTGCCTGGCTATAACTGTACTCCAGCCCTTGCAGCAGTCCCATGACATGAGCACCAATGGAAAACGCCACAAAGACATGCCATATCGTATGCGAATGGCCCCATATATCGAATGCACCCGGGTACAGGCTCTCAGGAACTCTCCTCTGCGGTGCGTCAGCAATCTTCCCTTCTGGATATAATCGAAGGAAACCTACCTCCCAAAAGTAGCAACCGATGATCAGAAACAACCCTTCGAGCAGGTAATATTGCACGCCTATCTTCCAGAGATACGGCACGCCCCAAAGCACGCACGCATGGCCGATTGGCGCAAGCGCCGAGAGACCGGTGCAGATGAAACTGGCCAGTCGGAACGAGCGCCACTCGGGACCCCTGAACTGCGGACTGAGGAGGGCCACGGCGGTTGCGGAACTGAAGGCCAGGATCTGCAGGCATCCATATCAGCATTGAGTCCGTGACTGTGATTATACTATGAGCAGGGCACTGACAAGCGACCAGTAGAAGTATTTCAGCTGCGGGTTACAATAGAACCCGAAATGCAGTCCGCTGATGAAATCGCCCAGAATGAGCACGATGATCCCGATATAGTCGAGCTGGAGCCAGCGGTGCGCGACGGCTGCAGAGTGGTTCAGCAGGGTGTGGTACGTCGTCGATGTCAGGAGACATATTGAGGCCGTGAGAAGTTGCAGTGAGACGATGGACCAGTCGAAGTTGGAGAGGTTCCCATGCGTTGTGCGGATGTACTCGTACAGGATGCCCTGGGACGAAAGCAACAACACGCCTGGAATCAGATGCGAGTAGATGTTTCCAGTTTCGTTGTGGCAGTACAGCCAACTGGCGAAGCAGCGATAGTAGGATCGGCTCTCGGGACGGTATCCTGAAAGGATGAACGGGTTGGGATCGTACCATGGTGGAAGCTGCTTGATGGTGAGGAGAGTCTGTTTCTTGACAAGCTGCGATTGATCATGTCCTCCGCTCAGGGCGATCTCCATGACCTCTTTAGAGCGGATGATCCGGAAGCGGAGGAGCCCATTGAAGACCATTTTGCTGTTGTTTGTCCCTGGAAGAAGCTGTCAGGGGACATACTGACCACATAGACCATGCTGAGAAAGGATAGAGTATTGATATAGGAGTAGAAATAATGGCTTAAGCCTTGAGGTAAAAATAATGATGATCATCAGTATCTCCCTCGCATCCTCCCATTCTTGGATCAACCAAGGTCCACTCATAGCGAACCATGAGGTTACGCCGGCCAATGTGATTGGGAGATCACAAGGAGAACAAGCAAAGCAACCGCTGCAATGTCCAAACTCTGATTGGAGAGAATGACAGGTCAACATGACTTTCAGGGGAAAGAGTGGCCTGCCGCATGTGAGTTGCTACTGTAGTTCTTGGCTGGTAGCTCAATGCGCCATAGTCTACGGAGTGTAAAGTATCGAATCATTATCTCAGTTCTGGAATCTTCAGGGCGACAGATATGACAATATGATTTCTACTGTAGGGCATATAATTGTCTATTATTGTTCTATCTGCCTTTTCCGTGCCGTGAAATGCTGCCTCAGGCTGGACATATGTCACGTGCTACACGTGATCTTCAAAAATTCAGATTGGGGATGAAGATATCCCGAAATGTTCATGGACGTTGACGTCCCCATCAGCATATTTATTTTCTGGAACAAGCCTTGGCATCCTTCTACGCTCAGAGAGGGATACCCATCGCATAGTAAACTCGAAACCGAGACTTTGTGCGTGGTTCAAGCGGAGAGTAAAATTGGGGTATCTCGGCCTTTGATTCTGGAACATCTCCCCATCGAAGCATTCATATCTTAGCATTCAGAGACTCTATTTCCGAGTCCTGTCATCATGGGCTCCAGCACGAAAAAGAAGAAGGAAAAGAAGAAGGACTTCCAGGTAAGTCCTGCATCAGCCCTGCACCAGAGCATTACTAACTCAGCCCAGAAAACGAAACTGAAAGTCGGCAAAACCAAGGCAAAGCCTGACAACTTCACCGACACAAGTTTTCGCGCAAAAAGTACGCAGCCTGCTCTACCATGTACATGCATATGAAGTGCTAATAGGCCGTCACAGCCATCACCCTCAACCAACAATCCCTTCACATCACCGCCCCATCATCAGACGCCCAATTCACCCACCACGTCTCTTTGCTTTCTTCCAAATCCGACACCCAGCGCCGCGACTCGCTCGCGCACCTGACCACCTCATTCGTCTCAAGGCCAGTAGACTCCCCCCTCCCCCAGCCCGTAAGCGTCCTCCTGCCTACTCTCCTCCCCCTGATCCTAGACGCAAGCTCCAGCGTTCGCACCCAGCTTCTCAAGCTCCTGCGCGCGCTGCCAGCCAACGACATCCAGGATCACGTCCCCCAGCTCCTGCCCTACATCCGCGCAGGCATGACCCATCTTGCAGCCGACATCCGCGTCTCGGCCGTCGAGGTGCTGTCCTGGCTGGTGTACGTCGCAGGCGCGGAGGTCGTCTCCTGCGCCGGGGGTTGGATCAAGACGCTGAACTGCTTCCTGTCTGTGCTGGGCTGGCACACGGAGGAGTCGTCCAAGTGGTCGGGGAATCGGGCTTCGTTCGGCAAGTCGGGCGCTAAGGGCCAGCCGATGGTTAAGGTGTTGGCCGCGCTGGCGGTGTTCCTGCAGGCGGGGATCGGGCGGCCGGATGATGGGATGGGTGATTCTTCCGACGAGGATAGTGCGATGGGGGTGTCGGGGTGGGAGTTCCCGTTGTGTCATGCGGCGCAGCATATGGTTCCGCAGGCGACGGCGCCGTTTGTGCATTTGAATCTGTTTGGGCAGCCTCGCGATGAGGAAGGGGAGATGTACGAGACGCGCGAGGATCGGTATCGCGTGTTTGAGAATCGGTTTTTGAGGGCTGTGCAGCGCGGTTTGGAGGGTGCGCGCAGTGAGGGCGGGGAGGTGGGAAGGGCTTCGGCGGGTGTGAGTAAGGTGCTTAAGGAGGCGATTGCGTATGGGCCGGGGGCGTGAGATTCCTCCAGGCCCTAGAAGCGGTGGATACGTTTATGGCATCTCGCCCCATCAACCAGGGTCGGAAAGGTCTGAGGTCTGACACCGACGATCGGTTGGATCATCCGAAGCCGCTACAATCTGCTTCGATGATCACTTTCAACCCGATGGACAGTACAGTCATTAATGCGAATGACTATCAGATTGGACCAGTGTCTCCAGATAGGACACGCCTCAGAACAGAGCGCGCAGGCGGATACGATAGAATACTACTCCTTCGGTGACCAACAGCGACTGAAGATCAGGATCAAGGAACACATCATATCAGGCCTGTTACTACATAGATAAGCGAATTGAACTACATCAGATTCGTTTCTCTAGTATCCCGTCCTTCACACCGAGCATCTTCTCTTCCCGACCCCCGCCCTCCCCCAAAACCTCCTCCGAACCCGCATCAACCCCCTCCACCGTGCCCCTGCTATCGTAAATCTCATCCGCCAGCACAGCCCGCTCAATCAAGCTCTCGCGCGCCGGGAACCAGACCGACAGACCCACATACACGATACTCGTCCCCACGAACCCTAACAGCCACCCAAACTGGTACGGATGGATCCCAACCCCGACATCAATGCTACTGTTCACAGACGCGATCAAACCCGGTAGATTCGGCGCCACGCCAACCAGGAACGCGACAAGGGCGCGCCAGTTCGTCCCCCACGCGGAATACCGATACGTCGGGTTTGACGGCTGATACAGCGCCAGGGTATCGTACTTCCTCCGCTTGACGAGCCAAAAGTCCCAGAGCATGATTGCGCCGATGGGGCCGAGGAAGATTGCGTACGCGGACATGAAGTTCAGGAAGCTTCCCGCGGACGCGAGGATCTTCCAGGGGACGAGACACCACGACAGGATCGCGCAGATGATCTGCCCGCGGCGCAGGTTGATGTACTGCGGTGCGAGCGCGGTCAGGTCGTTAGCGGCGGAGATGGAGTTGGCGGAGATGTTGACGCCCAGGGAGGCGAGGGCGAAGGAAAACGCGGCAAAGAAGCGGCAGGCGCGGCTGGTCCAGTGGCTGATCAGCACGATCGGGTCCCATGGGATATCGCCGCCGTAGCGCGACTGGCCGGCGGAGGAGGCGGCGATGCCGATGAAGGAGATGAAAGTGAAGACGATGGGGAGCATGGGGATGTAGAGGAGCTGCCATCTAGGGCTGACGCGGGAGTATCGAGAGAAGTCGGACTTTGTCGGTCAGCATATCGGTGTTACCTCTGAAATGCATCACATACCTGGTTCACGCTGAGCGTGGCATAGTTCCCCAGTACAGACGTCATATTCGCCAGGAACAGCCAGCTATACTTGGACCCGGAAACCGTGGGCTTCTGGTCAAAAATCGCTCCGCCGCCCTCGGCCACGAACGCCCAGACGAGAATCGCCAGCCACGCAATGGGCACGATGATGGATTTGGCGACAAACAGCCACCGGACTTTGTTTGGATGAATACACAGGAATGGGAACTGCACAATAAAGAAGATTAGGTATCCCACCATCCCGGCAGTCGTGATGCCCTCGTCCTCGGGGATGTCATTCTTCAACGTCAGGAAACTCGGCCAGATGGCGCCGATCATGCACCGGACGGCATTGCCCCCGTTGACATTCTGTATCGCAAACCAGAAGATCGCCAGGATCACGCGAGAAATGATGGCGACGTAGGAGCCCCAGAAGCCCCAGCTCGCGCGGGCGATGACGGGAAACGGGATGTGGTAGATGGCCCCCACGGCACCATTGGCGGCAATGACGAAGGAAATGATAAAGAAGGAGATGGCCACGATGGCGAGGGACTCGCGCCAGCTCAGCCCGACAGCGATGATGCCACTGGCGAACTGCCATGTTGCGGCGTTGAATGCGTCGGAGATCCAGTACGCTTTGGTCGGAGTCAGCAATGCAAAACCCAGAAATTGGATCGGTGATATCTCACCGACAAAACTCAATGGACCCCATTTTCGACGGTGACGAGGGACAGGATCGAGATCGAGGTTGGTCCAGCGGGCATTTCCCTCTGCAAAAGCCGACTTGGGCTGGGTGACGCGCAGACGGGGTCGTCTGAATACCATCGTAGGACGATGGAGTATTACTGTGAGACTAGGCAATTGCAACAAGAGACCATGTGGAGCAAAGATAAATTATGGAGAACAGAGAAGAGAAAAAGTAATTATGTTTGCATGCAGATGGCTTATCAAGGGAGGGATGATGCAATGTCGAAAGTGCTCTGCGTCACCACCCATACACCCTCAGTAGATATATTCTGCCGCTGTCTATCAGGTAAACAAAGCCAATGTCATCGATACACTATTGCCCAGGTTTTTGAACAGAGAAGCCTACCTATATATCTATCCCCATCACTAAGACCATGACTTACTCCCCAAGATAAGCCAACTCGCCCTGCTGATAAGCCAGCTGAATCCCTGTAGGCCAAGCGCACCGTCGACTTATCAGTTCACCATCTCATTGGCGAAATTCTCCTTCAGTGTAACGCCATTAAAAGTCTGATAAGAATCCTGTCTGATCTCTAAAGAGAACCGTGTGTGGCGATTCGTGCAGATCATTTCGCGCCCCCGTGGTTCATAAGTAGCAGAAGCCATCATTCCGCAGTGTTGATGGCAGGATAATCGGGCCCATGATTAGATTGTCGTTGTCTTCATTAGAAGAGAATTAGCCCTTCGAAGAGAGTTTCAGGAAAGGCAATGAGAGGATCATTTAACTCGAGTACTTCGTGCCAGGCTAACTCACCAAATAGTGGCTCAGGATTGAAAGGATCAAATTGCTGAATGCTACCAGCATATGAAAAGAGGATACTATGAACACCTGAGTATAGTGGCCAACCATTGACCTGATACTAGTGTCGTTAACGGTATAAACTGTTCATCTTAATCTTCGATCTTTCTATTCTTGTCCACTAGCACTGGTCGCTTCATATGGCATATTGAAATACGTAGAGATCACGGATTACTCCTTCTCCCCAGGAAGTCTCACATCTTCCCATCCCCTCCCATCACCAACACCAGGCAGACTTCCCACACGCCGGATCCCCTTCCACTCAGTGACATTTATCCACCCAATCTGCTGCAAGCCCCCAAACCCGCCGATCCAATAGACTTGCTCCACTACCATCTTCGCCCAGTAGCTCGAATGCGGCGCCCCAGGCTTTCCCGGCAACCAGGCACTCGCATCCGGATGCGCGCGCAGATAGCACTCCTCCAGCGCTGCCTCTGTATCCCCGTGCAGAGGCGTATCAAACGGCTCCACGTACCCGATCAGCGTGACGCGCGGGAGACCTGCTTCGCTCGGAGGAAACCCCGGCGCGACGGGCTGGGTCTGGTTCAAGTGGTCCCACCAGTCGATTGCGAGGCTGATGTTTGAGCCGGCAGCGGTGTTGCGAAAGGTTGTTGAGACGTGGAGGGCGAGGAAGGTCGGGTTGCCGTCGCCGCCGTTGCTGACGTCTGCAGGGAGGTATTCGTCGCAGTCGGCGATGTACTCTGGGAGGCTGATGGGGAGGCCGGCCACGGAGGTGGGCGCGTGGGAGTTGCCGGGGAGCGGGTCGGGGAAGATGGTCGAGACGGTGCCCGTTGTTGACAGGGCTAGGAGACGACGAGCCATGAGTGTTGAGGTGAACCAGGATGGTGCTCGCATGGTCTCGGGTTCCCCGATGTGGATGACATCACTGTGTTGGACGTTGTCTTCTGCCGGTATTGACGGAACAGATTGGTCTTGATATGAATCGCTAAGAAGCACCTGGTTGACGGCATTGTCTTGCGGAAAAGCCGATGGGATAGCGGTCGCTTGCAGGACATGACCGATAAGAAAAGCAAGTGCGGAGAAAAGGGTGGCACGATCCATGTTTTCGAGAGGAACAACTTGAACAACTGGCTGGTTGGCGAGATGCTATGAAAGTATTCTGTCTGCGGAGACGTGGAGATGCGGATGAAAGCACTCTGTAGAAGGGAAGAGATCGCCCTTTTAATAGCCCTGGTGGTGTCAGTATCACACGGCTTTGTGCAGATGACCAAAAGCAGAAGGCGCGTGAGGGGAAGAAGGAACGACAGCCAACCAGATATCTAATCTTATCTGATGGAGCTAGTCCTCAGGCAGCTAGGCTCCATCTCAACCTCGGCTATACAGAATGGCTTAAATATCATGTCTACCTCTGTAGCCTAGATGAAGAAGCAGGAAACACGATACAGTATATGCCAGAGAGCACTGCTGCATCTGGCTGACCATTATATTCACAACCAGTCCACCACTGGAGTATACCTCTTCAAATTCACTGATCTCTTGCTCTAGCAAAGTACTATAGTGAAACTGTGAATGTCACCATTCACCGTACTACCTACTCTCTTTTCGTTCTCTTGTTCACATGATCTTCTTCGCATTCATCCCTGGTCAACGCAGACCTTAGATGGGGAGTCTGCTGGCATCAAATCTGAGCTCCCTTTAGGCGTTAACGGACTGGCCTAATGCTCCCGGTCCAGCGAAGGAGGCAGGTAAGATCAATCCTCTGATTACTTCTATACCCATCCCATCTAACGGGCCCGAGCTAGTTGTGTAGAAAAGGGCGGCACAATGACATTCATGGGTTCCATGTGGGTGAAACCCCTCCATCGCCTCCAGACCATACAACAGGCAAAGCGAGCGTTCGCTGCTAGCGCGTGCAGCCCGAGTATAAATACTCCCAACTTTTTCGTACTTCGTCGAGTGCGAGGTTTCGTACCAACCAGTTCGATGGAACAACAGCTTTTCAAATTACTCTTCGTGCAAGTTATAGGGTTGTTAGAACCATTATCATCTGCTTCGCGTATTCGCTTGTGCCAATTGATCCACTATCATTCCATTTTTGATTCGCTCCCAGAGGACATAATGCATATCCCTGACCGACGAGGTGTCGTCGCCGAAGTCGCCGCGAAGCACCATCTCACTTTGACCGCTCAGGAGAAATCGTGTGTGACCCTACTAGATGTCGTTCGCAATCTCAAATAGTCTTTCGGCAGAGACAGAGAACCAAAGACCAAACCTATTGCAAATTCGATCTAACAGTCTGCTGTCATCCTTTATCAGCGCGGCATTAAAGTGGAGACTACTTGCAACCATTGTGTTAAGTCAGGTATGTTTAAGAAGTGCATCATGGGGCCTGAGTATGATTCAGCGGGTACCACTCGTGCGTTTTTTCAGGGGTCGTGCGCCAATTGCCTCTGGAATGGCAAGTCAGCAAAATGCAATTATTACTTGAGTCATACACAAGGATGGAATTCCGACGACAGCGTGTAAGTTTCTACCCCATCGATTCTCCTTTCTCTTGACTTATTCGTGTAGCACAATTCTTCAGGCTGGTGGACTACTGCAGGCTCTTGGTAGCAGTCCCACTTTGCGAGATATTCCCCCTCAAGTAGAAGAGGTTGTCAACGATCCCATCGAAGAACAGTCGAACGTATCCAGAGCTTCACATACCCCCCACAAGTCCACCACACCTCCTTCTGCCAGCGTCACTGCACATACCCCATCAGTCGAAGCTGGGGCAGGTCGCATCAGCCGTCGCTCTTCCGCTGTTAAGCCCTCCGTTATCAAAGGTTCTTCGTCCATGATTGATAAAGGAGAAGGGTTCCTATCGAAACGCCCCCGCGAAACCCCGTCTTTCGGTTCAACTCCGTCAAAGAAGCGTCGTCGTAACCCCCTAGACGGGGAAGTTCTTCCCTGGCCTGTGTCGATGGTCGACTTCGAGGACCTGGATCGTCTCCGTCTAACTTTCAATTGAGCTCTATCTCCATCGGTCAGATCCCTTTCGGTCGACCACGGTAAGGGGACCTCGCCATGGGCGAAGCTCCGAAATTGGGGTAATCTTGACAAATGCGACAGCCCAGCACCCGATTCGCATCTCTGGGGTCTCTCTAGTAAATCCCTTTCAAAGGGTCTCCCTTCGACCCGTGGGCCCGAAAAGGGGAGATCGAATTCAATACTGAGGACTTAGAGCATATTGTGACGGTGTGGAAGGTACATCCTAAGGTTTAAGAACAGAATACTAGGGACTCGAGCTGGGTCAAAAGGTCACATCGTTGGGAGTTTTTCTCCACTAGGAACCACCGAAAACCCCGCAGAATAAGAAGGTTAAGCCAGGGTACGGCGAAGGCCACCAGCGGGCCGTTCTCGAAAATGGCCAACTGTGGTGCTAGAGGTCGGAGTCTCCAGTCCTCCTGGCTTCGTACCGGTGTGGAGCCCACGGTCTCAACCTGCACGGTCAATGCAGTCGCGTCGTCCTGCTGGAACCCTCTCTCATCCTTACAACGGTCTTTCAACCTCCCAGGCGGGTTCACTGCCTCGGCCAGCGAGACCCACAGAAGGCGTGGACGCTCTTCCAGGAAAGGTCCATCTCACGATGGATCAAGTGCAACAGCGTCGTCGGGGCGCTGCCGCAGTTAACCGCCCAGCTTCATGACCTGCTCGAAACCTTTGTTGCCGGCGGCAAACCGCCCTGCGGATACGGGAGACACGATCGAGTGTGGGGAAAAGTCGGATGGCAACGATGCGGAGGATGAGTTTATCCAGCGGCATGCGGAGGATACCCTCTGACACATGCTTGGCCAGCGAGCCAGTCCTGGGAGTCAATTATATGGACGACCTCGAACAGAAAATGAAGCTGGACAAGGACGACCACTTCTGGAATACTCCACAACAGCGGCGCATGGCAGTGATAATCTCCGACGCCTGCAACTATACAGCCAGGTACAAGAATCCGAGATGGATATGGACGACGTCGATGGAGCGCGGCCAACAGCACGGCAGATCCCTTTCACGCGAACTTTCCCCTAATCTCAAAGGAGGGACGAAAGATCACATCCGATCGTCGGGCGAATAATCCCAATCCCCAAACTGAATTTGTCAGATTGCTATGACGGCGTTTGCCCCCGCACATTATTACCCGGTCCCATTTGGGGGCAAACACGTATTGTTTGCGAAAGCAAAGTATAACGAAGGAAAAGAGCCAAGGATTACTTCTACAGCCCAGTGATTAACTGTGACGCAACCAGTACTTCTCCGTTCAGCTAATGCCGCATGGCAGAACCGTCTACCGATTTCATATGTCGCATACATCCTCAAGTTATTGTCAAAGGGACAAAGCTATCAGGAGCTCCCGTCTCGGGGACTACTGAGCTCTTCGTCCGAGACAGGAATGGTATGCCCACACTGCAACAAAGCGAGGTATGTCAAGATATTCGCTTAATGTTTCACATGCTCACTATCTGACCTTGTGCAGACTATATTCCAGCGTCCTCCCACTACCAAAAGCCAGTGCCTTTGGATCCGACGACGGGATCTTCTGGGCCAGCACAGTTACCAGGTCATAATGGGATTGACTAGATTGAGTTCAGCAGCCCAGGTGAATTAAGTTCACTCACTGCTCGTCAACCATCTATCTATGGTGAGGTGACGGATGGCTAACGCGACCGCTGGTCCAGCCATGTCCGTGCCTGATGCCTGACATGCTTGAAGGAGTTTTCAGGAGAACGGAGGAGGATGTCGAGGGCAGCACTGGGGCCAGTGGCTTTTAGCGCTAGGTTGGATGGGGTGAACCAGTGAATCACAGCTGTTGTATATTCTGATCTCAAATCAATTTAAGCCTGACTTCCTCTTTCTTTGCTCTTCAAAGCATCAACTCGTAGCCGTACTCCGTACCCGGTGGTTGGTTGTATAGGTGCCTAGGTAAATTCAACGCCTTCCGATTTCACCCGTTGACTCATTGCTGCCTCAGGCTGCAACCCGCATTGACTCACCGGTCAAGCCTCAAATCCGGAGTCCAACCTTTCAGCTCGCTACAAGATGCGGTGAGTCACTGAGTGACACCAGGACCGGCTGGTCCTTGAATCTTCCGAGATCAGGCAGTCGCCTCTCGCCGAAGAGATCAGGTCACGCCGCGACAAGTCAGCCAAGAATTATAGAGTACTTAGGTGATTACATTGTGATTGGCTATCCTGGGTACGTCCAGTGCATCGCTGGATGCTGCTGACGGCTAACAAACATAGGGAACTTGCAAGAACTCTGGGTAAGTTAAGTAGGACAAAGTCGTCACTTATGATAGATAGATATGCATTCCTTGCCTTGCCAGGAAGCTGGACCATTCCCAACCGCCGCTCCATCCAACAAAGTAAAAGAAAGCGAGGACAAAAAGATATAGATAAAACCATGACAACACCCTTCCCATCCCGCCACACTCCGTTCGTGTAATAAGACCGACAATAGATGCAGAGAAATGTAGGAATAAATGATAAGAAAGATGGACTAAGCGGTAGCTCCCAGGGACAAGAACCCACCCCGGCATACATCGTACATCAGTAGATCTGCTGGTAACAGAGCCACTATAAACAACAGGTCGAAGACGTAGAGTTCAACGCAGACAACCGTCTCAAACTCCCAGCAACAGCAGGGTATATACACATGACAACTCAAAATCGTTTTCTCCAAATGCAGAAAAGAAAAACTCGAGATAAAGTTCGCTGCATCAAAGAACTTTTCCCACCAGTTGTCTGCGTTGTTCACCTCTGCGCCGTTGGAGAAGCCTGAAAAGAACGTCACTCGATCGACGAGATCATATATGAAATAAAAGAGAGATATGATGGACTAAGCCACACGCTAAAAAGCCACTTTTCCTTTCTACAGAAAAGAAAAAGACAAGAGAGAAAAGAGCCTGGCAGCTGAATGTTTCATCGACAAAGCTAGCCCAAGTACTCCGATCGCACACTTGGGTTCAGCGCAATCTTCCTCGCTTCGCTGCCACAGCAAGCACGCTTCATGCCAGCTGGTCCAGACAAAGGAGCGCTAACAGCCAGGAGACTGAGTTGAGCAGCGGAGAGAGACTGAGAATGTTTCGGACCAGAACGAGTATCGCCCATGGAACGATCCGAAGCCTTGCCCTCGTTCCGCGCATTGAGGTTCATCAGGTGGCGGACATGGTTCTGCCACAGAATATCCTCGGAGCCTGTGCGGCCACGTTTCCGGCATTGCCGCTGAGCAGTCGTTCCTTGCTCGAGCGTCTGTGCAGAGCGGGAAATAGCCCCCGACAGTTCACAAAGGCTTTGAGCTGCCTCGTGATCAACAGGAGTGCCCAGCGAGATATTGGATAGATCTGGGACCTGGCCAGCTGCGCCCAAGTAGGTCTCAGGCGAGCTGTAGATCTCACCAAGCGGGCCCTCATCGATAGGAGACGCGATGGCCAAAGCCTTCCGACCTTCCTTGAGTGAGTTGCTGGTGCATCGGAGCGTTGCCTTCACAGCCAAGCGAGGCTTGGCAGAGGCGCTAGTGCCCAGGATGGAGATAGGGGCCGACCCGGAAGAGCAAGATGACAAACTCGACGACGACAGCGTCGAGACATCGGAAATCATCGATTCAGGGGATGACGCCGAAGACGTCGATCGAGCCAGAGACGATCTGCGAACCACGGTCGGGTATCCATCAAACGTGTTAGCCTTTTGGCAAAACGCCAGCGACGGCCGCTGATCGAGAGTCGATCGCGCCATGCACACATTTTGCACTTGTGACATAGCAGCGCAGATGGAAGCCCGGCGGGCACAGAAGGCGCTACCACTCGCAGCAGGAGTGGTAGCAATGACCGTCTGAGGCGTCAACTGAGGTGTTGGCAGCATAGGTGGTCGTGGCATGGACGGAAGAGACGATGCTCCAGCAGACATGGGCGAGTACCGCTGATACGCCGATCCCTGATTGTAGATGGATGACGGGCTGGGGTGCTCACCCGTCGACGGGGAACGAGGAGAAGGTGAATCCGATACAAGGCCCGATTCAAATCCTACCATACAAGAAGATGAAGGCTCCACGTCCACTGTGTCCAGTTCAGGAGTGAGCTTGGGGATGACCGTTCGCCAGCACTGGCCTTCTCCAGCAAAAGGCCCACCAGCTCCCGGGGTGTACTTCAGGACGATGTCCGTCCAACGCTGAAAGGTGGCTTCGGTAACGTGTAGTCTCCAGCCAATCGCTTCAAGAAACATCAACTCGTTCTGGTTGATTTCCGCGGTATTCAAGCCGGAGATCTTGCTCCACGCACGGGCAGAGTAGTTGCGGTCCTGAAGGTACTTTGATGCAAGGATCAAAGCGGCAAGGAACATGCGACGGCCACATTGCATGGCACGGCAGACCGGTTTGCTCCGGGGCGGTTGTTCCTGTTCCGCATCGTAGCGAGGCACGTGCTCCTTGATCTTGATCAAATAATACAGGGCAACCTGCAGAGTGCTGTAGCTGGTGCGCGACCGACGGAGAGTCTCCTGAATGAAAGTACGAAGGGGTAAAACACCTTTGCAGCCTGTGGCAGAGTCGCTGCGAGATGCCACTGCTGACAAGGGCCAGATTATCTCTACAATCTGCGAGGCGGTGTCTTCGTAGGGCAAGAGCATTTAGCTTTAGAAAAGATGGAAATCAAGAGGAAACATTCACTTACCGACGAGATTGTCAACAAAGTTGACCTTCCGATCCGACTGTCGCAAGAGGCATGGCGGAGGTCGGGCACAACTGACGCCGCTGGACTGAGCCATGCAGCTGTTGGTGCGCCGAGGATGCCTCCGCAACTCGGGCGCGACCGCCGCATCGGTAGCTTTGGGCAACACACCCCTCACACCGCCACGCGAACTAGTCGCCGAAGTCAAGATTCTTCCAGCCACCTGGTATTCGCCTTCATTTTCCCAGATTACATCCACCGGGTTCGTGGAAGTCGACGAGATGGAACTCTGGTTTGATACACAATCCAGGGAAAAG